AAGGGCACACTCAGACTGAACGGAGAACATGAGTTGGCACTCTTTCTCCCATGCCACATGGCTTGCTGTGCCCCGAGCCTCACGTTTCACCTAGAATGCCTGGGTGGGGGGCCCAGGCAAGATTCTGAACCAAGGGCTAGTCCAGGTCTCCCAAAGTGCCCACTCCATTAGTCATCCCCGGTGAGGGGCCTCGGCAGAGGGGCAGGCCAGCAAGGAGAGAATTTGGGGAACTGCAGGTAGGGGACCAGCCTCTCTTCAGGCATCCTCCTGTTGCCCCCATACTTGGTTGTCCACAGATGTGGGAGTGGAATCCTACTAGAATCACTCGAGGGAAACTCACTGCCTAAAAGGTCTCTGGAGAGATCCTGCCCTCACAGGAGGCACTTTTGTCATAAGGTCCTCCCACAGTGTTTCTTTTATGAAACCCCGGACTTCCATCCACGTGGCTGTATGTATAGAAGCTCCTGACTCTAGTTTCTCTTTCTCCCCTCACACTGCTCCATCTCTTCTCCTGTGGGCCTGGGCCAGGGATGTGGGGTGTCACATTGGGGTACAGACACGAGTCCTGGGGTGGGGCTGGGACTGGTTCCTTGCTTCACGTCCCCCACACTGCATGGGCCAGTATCAGGGTCAAGACCCATCCTCACTGAGCACCAGGCCCCTGCCCAAATCAAAGCCAGGCCAGAGCTTCAGGGAGAGCAGGCCACAAAGCCATCAAATGGGTACACGTGTGTGTACGCGCAGGTGAATAAGCAAATGCTTGGGCCTGGGACTGTGACCCAGGTTCCAATACAAAGATACTTTGTATTGGGATGCTGGAGCCATTCCAACATGAAAAGCAAGAATAGAACCTGTGCTTGCTGGTCTAAGATCAAACCTCAGGATGGTAGTTTGAAGTTTTTCTTCAAAAGAAAGTTTGAAGGAGAAAGCTCAACAGGCAAGACAGATAAAAGCAGAGTTGTTCTGGTGGAAGTGGGAGTGGGGGTGGGACTGGAGACATAGCCTTTGCCTCCACCCCCACCTTCCCACCTTAGCAGCTCCTGACAAAGCTCTGTGGAACCCCAGGGGTTCCAGAGCACTTGGTTTGAAAACCACTGTGTCAGAGTGTCTACAAATCATGGGTCCTGGGGACCTGTGCTTTGACTTCCCTTTTGGGGTGAGGAGTGGGGTGACAGTGATGGGGGAGGATGCTCCCCCTTCAATAGGCCTCTCTTTGAAGCCCCTGTGCAGTGACCCTGCAGGGGAGTGGCAGAGGTGGGGATCCTGCCCCACAGGTAGGCCATTTCAATCCTGGAGGGAGGACAAAGTGATGCAGCTGCCTGGCCCTGGATGGCAAAATGCCAGGCCCAATGCAGGCTTATGAACAAGGGTGGGGGCAGTTTGTTTTGGTCCTTGTTGACTTTAAAAAGAAAAACATCAGAACAGCTATAGGCCTATGTCCATGAGACCCTATAAGAGTTCAAGACTGGGGCCTACTGCTGCCCTCTGGGATGGGTGGAGAACGTCCAGTCCCCAGTGCTTGGCAGGAGAGACACTGCCTTTGCGGGCTGCCGAATCCACTGGGCAACAGGTCAGCTGGGGCTCAGCTCTCAGGGGAGGAGGCCTGGGTTCTCCCTGGCCCGAATCCCTCTCAGTGTCACCCAGAAGCATTGGAGGCTCCAGTAGATCCTGGAGGGGACCTTCGACTGGGAAGGGAAGGGGTAGGCAATTTCTCTTCCACCTCACCTTTGGGGTTCTTCAATGGAGGAGTGCTCCAGTCCTTCCGGGGCCTGGGGGCTGGTGGCTCTTCCTAACCTGAGATCAGAGCCAGGGCTTCCTGGCCTCTGTGGGGTCTGAGAGATGGGAGATGTGGGTGACACCAGGCCTGGGAGGGTCCAAGATGCCCCCATCCCAATCACTGGCAATATCCACGTCTTGTCTCTCTGTCCTGGTTGCTGGGACCACTCTCTGTGGGCACAGCATTCCTGAATGTATCTGGATTTCCCTCTAGGCTGGGCCACCAAAGCCAAACTGGCTGCATCTGATTCTGGCTGACATCCGCCTACATGAGAAGGGGCAGGGGATGAAGACGGGTGGGAGGAGGGCTTGGCCACAGCCAACTTCTTGTGTGACCCTGGGTGACTCCCCTGCAGTGGCAGCGCCATGGCCTGTGCAGCCATTTGCAACTTACAGAGCTAACCTTCATCTCCACTGCCTTTCCTCTCATCTGGGCCTCACAATTCCTTGAGTCAGGTGGGAAAGAGATTACCGTCCCATTTTACAGTTAGGGAAATCGAACCCAAGAGGTTGAGTGACTTGCTCAAGGCTACTCCGCCGGTTGGTGACAGCCAGGACTGAGAGGCGCTGTGCAGTTCCAGGCCAGCACGCTCTTCACTGCACCATGTGGGAAGCAGCTTGTCAGCAACTCCCCAGCTGAACCAACACCCCAAGGGATCCCACTCTCACATGTCTGGGCTTTAAGACTGAGGAGGCCCGTGGAGTCCAGCCAAATAAACCAGTCCCTATCCTCGCAGGGACTGAACTCTTCTGTAGGTTGGAAAGCTGAGGAAGTCCAGCTGGCCCTCTGCCTGGGGGTTTTCACCAGGGCCACACTCTTCCTTCCTGCCCAGACTGCTACCTACATGCCACCCCCACGGCCCACTGGAAAGTCCCTGGGTGGAGCTGCGTAGTCAGCACAGGCTCCAAATGTGTGCAAGAAAGAGCCCACACTGTGGGCTGGTGCCTGGGGCCCAGCAGGGCTCCCCCACCCCCAGTTTCACTTCAAGGCCTCACTTGACTCCAGAATGAGACTCCAGGGCTGAGTCTGGATGGAGAGGCGCCCTGCAGAGAAGGACTCAGTCATGTTTGCGCGCTGCAGGAGGAGTGGGGTCTGGAGCCGACCAGAAGCTTGGAAAGATGATCTGCACTTTGCTCTCAGGAAGAGGCTGAAGAAAACACTCCAGCCCAAGGGTCCCACCACTGGGCTGTAGTGCACGGCTGCGCAGGAGGACGCCCGGCCCAGGGGCAGGTGGGGCTAACCTCCAGCCTGAGGGCCACTCACAAAGCTGCACATTCTAACGTGGGCTGAATCCACCCGGAAGGGGCACCATTTCCAATTTATGTCAAGGTACTATACAGACTACCAGCAGCCATGGAGCCTGAATGCAATGGCTCCGTTACTCTCCCCATACTTTCCCCTGACCATGAGCTTCCTGAGGACAGGGGCTGGCACTGACCCATCTCTGTGTCTCCAGTGCTTGGCACTGAGCAGAGAAGCTGAATTCAAATGAACTTGACCACTGCCCCTCTGTACTCCTGTGTCCGAAGAGTGAAAGGCTGGAGGGGGCTATGATGCTTCCTGCAACTGGAGAAATTTCAGGGAAACACAGGGATAAACCCAAAAGGGTGAGTGAGATGGAGGAGGCTCAAGAAACCAATCCCACAAATCTTTTGTGTGCACAGGTTAGGGATGGGGGAAGAGGTTTCTAAGGGAGTGATCACCCCAAATCCTAAAGGGTCTTGTACCAGCTCCAAAGGTTCCAGAGGACAACACTGGAGAACATATACTTGCCATGTGTTGTTTCAGCATCTCATCAACTCTATAGCTGCCCAAAGGAGGCGCAAACTGCCTGGCAAGCTTTCATACGGGCTGGATGCCTGGGGCACCTGCAGCTATGACTCCACGACTGGCCCGGGGAGTGTGGCTGCCCTGAGCTGACTTGGTTCTGACCTGGGCTGAGTCTTCATGAGATTCAGAAGAGAAGGCTGGGTGCAGTGCCAGGCCTGAGCAGTGGGTAATATCACCATGGGAAATGGTTTCACAGTCCACCCCTGGAGGGGCTGGGCTGAAAAGGGTTGAGATCAAATTTGTATAACATTTGTTGTCACTCTTTCCAGGTGAGTGTGGGATAGAGATAGAAGGGAGCAGGCATTGAAGAGAGATCCCCATATTTGCTTGGGTAGAAAGCAAACGTCAGGGAGTCTGCATCCACAGGGGCCTGCAAGGTACTGGAGGCCCTATCACAACACCCCCGACCAAGCCTCAGCAAATACAAGCTCTGTCCGTCTGTAACACTCGGGCCCTAGGGCCGAGAGTCCTGCTAGCGCTGGCCACAGGCAACTCCCCAGGGGCCCAAGAAGGGCCCTTCCCAGGCCTGGGTGGCAAGGGGAGGGGGGCATGTGTGGTGGGCTAGGAGCTCTCCATGGCCCTGCCACCTGCGGGGTCCAGTGAATCCCCTCTGGAGGCAGACAGAACAGTCAGCAGCTCTGGCTTCGCTCACCAGACCAGAAGCTCTAATGTTCACAAATTCTTAGAGGCCAGAGATGGGACGGCCCTTTGTGATCATTTGGTCAAACCCCTTGGTTTTTCACCCCTTTTCTAGGCGAAGAACTGAGACCCAGAGAGGGAAAAGAACTTGCCCAAGGTCACACAGTAAGTGAGCATCAAAAGGCCAGACAAGAACAGATACCTTGTAAGACTTTCTACCTCATCATCTGCCCGCCCTGTTGCCCTGGAAACGTCCCAGGTCCCGATCACACCAATACCAGCCAATGGGTCCTGAATACCCATGACACTGGGAACTACTGGAGGGTCATCACCTCCCCCAGGAAACAAAGGGTTCCTTGCTACCCTGCAGTCCCCTTCCTTTTGGGTGAGGGCATCTCGAGGGACCCTACCACCTTCTGAGAAGGACCCCCTTGACTGTGCGCACGGTGGCCTCAGGCGCTCTCAGCCTGCGGGCCCAGAACTGCAAGGAGATGCCGGAGGATACCAATGGCCCTGGCCCCCTCTGGATCTCCAGCCTTGCTTCCTGCAGAATCGCTGACTGCTCTCAAGTCTACAAAGAGAGGGAACAGGACAGATTCTCATCGTCCCGCCCCTGCCCCCATCTCTCAGAGCCACCCTCAGGAAACCTCCTCAGGAGCTTCAGCTCACTCTGCTGGGGGTCCGTGCGTTCTGAAGACCCCTCCCTTCTCTCTCTCTCTCTCTGTGCATATTGATAAATAGGACACACACATAGGATACAAGGTAGCTAGGATGTTACGTCCTGAAGATACTGAAACAGACTTGGGCTCGTTCCCACTGCTTGCTTTAGACTAGGTAACTGCTGGTAAGAAAGTCAGTCCAGTTGCTTTTCTCCACTCCTGGGGTCTACAAACCAGTGTCACTGTCAGACACAGAGGGACACGGGGCAGGGACGGGGGTGGAAAGGGAGGTGTTTGGTGGGTCCGAACTGCAAAAAGGCATTGAGAATCTATCCACAGGTCTGCCCCTCCCAGCCAGAAGAGGGTGGCCTTCAATGTGGTCGTCTTATTTAGCTGCCAGAACTGTGTTAACCACCTGGGACTGTGGACACCCTCTCACGTGTCTTGAGCCCTCATCCCACCCCCCCCCAAGCCCTCGTGCCCCATCCTCCCCATCCCAAGTCAGGTTCCAAGGCCAGAGCCGTGGTGGCCTTTCTGGAGGTCAGAAGGAAAAGAGGGGGGATGGAGAAGTGACTGCAGTGAGGGGGTGAAAGGGGTGCAAGTGGCCCTGTTGGCATGGTGATGTGGGCCTGAGGCCAGAGGCTCCCCACGGTAACCTGGAAGACCGCTGGGGCCCCTGGTAGAAAGGGGAAGAACAAAGGGGAGTGGGACGGGCACAGGAAGAAGATAAGTAAGCATCCTAGTGCGTGAGAGTGGACCTGGGGCTGCCCGCGCGAGGCCAGCCCCGTCTATCTATCGTTGAGCTGTGGAGAGCCGGTACCATCCTCCTCCTCCTCCTTGTCGTCCTTCATGCCCTTCAGTCTCTGGCGGGCAAAGTCCTCAAACACAATGTCGTCATCGCTGGTGGGAGAAATAAGGAAAACGGGCCGTGTTTGCAGGGCAGGGAAAGGAAGCTTGTCCAGAGCGGTCAAAGGCTGGCCTCTGGGGCTGGCCTTGGGCAGAAAGGCCTGCCAGGCTGGCACATCTGAAATGCCCACCAGTGACAGTGAGACTGGTCACATCTGGACTCCAGCCAGTTGTGGAAATACCAGAGGGAGGCACAAGTTTCACTTCCATGCCTAAGGGCTAGAAAGTGACCCAGTTCTTGAAGGGTTGGAGGGGGCAAATCATACAGGGGGCAGTGTGGCTGGGCTGGGGCCAGAGGAAGAACACATTCCCACTGTGAGAGGCCAGGCCACCAGCAGTTTCACAGCACATTCTGAATCCCCCAAGAGCAAGCCCAAGTAACCCCACCCACCCACCCAAAGAACGACCCTCAGGAAGCACTCCTGTTTCTGCACAGGAAGGAGTGGGCTTGGCTTACTGGAAGAGAAAACCTTGAAGGCTTTTTCTCTGAGGAAGTGGCAGCTCACATTCCACCCTGAGGGATCTTTGATGGGGGGTGGAGGGGGGGACTGCATATCTAAATAGAGGAACAGAGGAAGGGTGGGTGGGGAAGAGGGTGCCCGAGTGGGGTTTCAGGACTAAAGACTGCTTCTAAGAAAAGTGAGTTCCCTTCATAAAACATATCCACTCAGGCCCACCGAGTCCCCTGCCCCACAGAATTCAGCCAGCCGCATGGGGGGGTCCTCATGGGGTGACTTAAGACCCCAATCCCAAATATCTCCCAGGTGACAAGGGAAGGGTGGATTTGGAGCTGGAGTGAGAAAGATGCTTGGCCCTGGAGGTGGTTCATGATGTGGGCCCAGGTCCTCCCCCTCTGGCCACTGTCTGGTGACACGATGGCCTTTGACCACAGGGAGATCCACATCAGTCCTCAGGAGTCGGAAGCAACAAGATCACCAGAACCTTCCCCACCCCACAGCCTGATTCCACCGCTGGGCGCAGGCGGGGCAGGAGAGCCCCAGCCCAGGGCCACGAACCAGCCCTGTGTGAGCCGAGCAGGCGCTGTGGATGGACGAACGGACTGACGGACGGACGTGCAAGGACGAGGGAGGAAGACAGACCCCACCAAGGCAGGAGGAAGAGGAACAGGCACGGAGGGTCCTTCAAGTCACATGCAGGCAAGCGGGTTGCTGAAGAGGCGAGCAGAGGCGGCTCTCAGCAGACGGGGTTAGACCAGCTGCTCCTCAGGGTTAATAGGCATATATGCAAATGACCCGTCGCCCCGCCCACCGCCCGAGGCCCGCCCCCCAGACGTCTGCAGGCAGGGTTTGGCTTACTTTGTGTCAAGTTCTATGAGATTGGTATCTACTGGCGCCTCGTTCTCTGGAACTAAACACAGGGCGGGCAGGCACCCATGGGTTAGTGGAGAGTGGGCAGGTGTAGGGGCAGGTGGGTACAGGTCCCCACCCCGGGACATCTAGGCTAAGATGGGGAGGGCAAAGGAAGACGGGGAGTGGGGAAAGAGGGCTGGTCCCTGGTCTGGAAACACCCCAAATCATCCTAAAGGCAGGGAGGAGAGTCCAGGAAGGACCCCGGAGACCCAGCACAGCCCCAGGAGGACAGATACACCTCTGGGCCCTGCTCCTTCTGGCATGTCGCCAACATGACTTCGATTCATTTCTTGCCTGCATGACTTTCACTAACTCTAAGACATTTTTCACATTTTCTCATCTCTGAACTTGGGGTATGTTTTACAATCAATGGCATTACATAGTTTAATTGAGTGAACGTTTTCTTTTTTTGTGGTACATACTATGATGTTGCCTCTTCCAAATGAAACATAGATTTAAGGAAAATCTTGGAAAAATGATGGGGATGGTGTGTCCAGGGGCTGTCTTATCCATGCAGCCCCTTCTCCCACACCTGGATGCAAGACAAGGGGGCTCCAAGCATGGCCAGTGCCCCCATGTCCACTCCCAGCCTCCCCGCCCCATGGAGAACAGAGCCAGACCCTCTGTCTCCCAGGGGAGGTGGATGCAAATCACAAAAGATCCTGCGGAGCTGGGGGAGAGGGGTGACCCCGTGCTAAAGGCTGACCCAGAGGGAGGTGGTGTGACAGGGAAACATGGCAGCTGGGTCAGCTGTCTGGAAACCCCCTCCCCAGTGACCCACAGATCCTGCTCACCTTCCCGATGTGGGGGTTCCTCTTTGGGCTTGGGATGCATTAGGGTGAAGGGCAGTTCCACGGCCACATCACTGAAACAGAGACCCAGACCCAGTGAGCCGCGAGTGAATCTCAGGCTATGAGACTCAATGCCCTGTCAGTCTGAGGACTGGGAGGGTTTCATGGTCTGAGGAGGTAGCTCTGGGCTGAGGGGTAGGAAATCAGGCTTCAAGCCCCAGGTCTGCCATTCTCTGAGCCTCAGTATCTCTGGGAGTTGAAGGAGGAGACCTCTTCTCCTGGCTCCAAAAAGAAAAGGAAACCTCCTCTTTCCTGAGAAGGATCCCTGGATTCCCACGAGCTGGGAGGAGGCATAGGGATGGGAAAAAAATTGCCCAGGACAGTGTGCACCTTGGTCACTGGTGGCGCCAGAGGTGCCCCGGGACCCTGGCAACCTCAAAACACCGCAGCCAGCCCAGCCCTCTCTGACACTGCCCATCCCAACTTCCTGGTTGGAACTCCCCTCACCCTCACTCCATCCCATTTCCCAACATCTCCAGGAGGCTCCTGTAAAAGTGCTCAGGTGGCCCTAGCCCCCTGCCATCTGGAAGACACACGGCAGAGGTCAGTTTAATCAAATTCAAGTTGGATGGGACCTAGTCCGCAGGACCGTCTACATTGTGCATGGAGCCTCGAGGCCATGTGGGGACCAAGGGTGGGGATGGCAGGGAAGAACGGGGGAGGTGCTGCCACCCGCCAGTGCTTCTGCCTGGGCCTGCTCTCCCCTTGGCCCTGACGGACAGAATAATAACAAGAGCAGACGCTTACATGATGTCGACTCTGTGCCAAGGACTATTCTAGAGTAACTCTTAATCTTCACAACACCCTATTATTACACCCAATGTACAGACTGGGGAACTGAGGCAGAAGGAGAAGAAGTATCTTGCCCAAGGCCACACAGCTATTATTGGGAAGTGAAAGACAGGATTCTGACTCCATAATTCACACCCTTAACCACTGTGTCATAACAGCTCAGCACTGAGATGGTGATTCCCAGCCACCCTTGGCTCTCTACTCTGACAAAAGGAGCCCTGAAAGCTCCTCCTCTCAGCTTGGGGTGGTGTCATCCTAGGAGGCCCTGTCAACTGTGAGCGACTCCAGAAACAGCCTTATCTTATTGATCTTGCTGCCCAGGGCCCAGCTGGGGGGGAAGGGACAAGGGAACAGAGCAGTCAAGGACACAAGCTGTGCAACCAGAAAGGTCTGTTCCACCAGCCCCACCACTCCCTAGGGGATACTTTACATCTTCAAGTCTCACTGAGCCCATCTGGAAAATGGAGACAACAATACCCACCTTCTAGAACCACTTCTGGGAGATGATGTAAGAAAAAGACAGGGTTAAACTGTGAAGCTGTGCCTGCCAGAATCATTACTTCCCCTCGATAGGAATGTGGGGGTTTCATAAGGCTGTTGAAACAATTTGGCTTTATTTTTGCTTCCAAAGAGGATTGCTTCTCCAGGTTCACTTGGAAGAGTGAGCTATCAGAATGGAAGCTAGTGGAAGATGGAGTTCGCCAACTTTCATTAAAGCCATACAAGACATGGATGGAAGAATCAGGACCTTAACCTTCTACCAAGCCATCAGCCATCAAGGGCAGGGGGCGTGTCTGATTCCTCTCTGGGACCTAGGCACCCAGCACAAGGCTGAGCAAAAGCCCGGGTTCAGGAAATCTTTACTGAATTATATTGAACTGAACTGAACTGAATTGATTTCACTTCTCCAAACGGACTAAGATTTCTTGGGATGAGCAATACTGCCATCTTGTGACAGGAGCAGGCAAAACCACTGCATTTGGGGCACATGCATTTTTGGAATGTACATGGATCCAGCTGGCTTCTTGTCTACAAGCTTCTTCTTGTCCAAGGAATCTTGTCTACAAAAGCATATCTCCTCAGGACCTCTCCTTAGCAACACTCGGCCCGCAGTGAATTCTCATTAATGTAGAAGTTTGAAAGCCATGAAGCCTGCGTTTCTCTAAAATATCCTGTAATTCTGACTAACTGGGGGCCACTCCCTGATCAATGAAGCCGGGCTTTGCTGTCCACAAAGGTCCTTGTCACTTGTGTGGGATAGAAGAGCAGGGCGAGGTTTTTAAAGGAGAAACTACATCTCCTCAGTCCCTCTGGAGAGGGTTCTAGTCTGAGCACATGCCTGAGTCTGGCAATCGAAAGTGACCACTAAGAATCCTTCCAACCCGGCGCCCTGTGGTTCTGGATGGTCAGACCAATAGTCTCCGGGCCCTCCAGGAAGATGGGTTGATCAGGTCAAAGGGAGGGACTTTACCTGGACGCAAGATCTCCCAACAGGCTGGGTGGGTCAGAGGAGGCGGGAGAAGTGGTCAGGAGAGTTCAGAGAGGAAGAAAACAGAAAGCACGTTCATTCACCACCTCTACTGCCCGCTGGGGTGGAGAAGACCCTGAGACACACTCCCACCGCCCCCTGCACGGCTGTAACCTCTCACTGGGGGACACACAGACATAGCATTAGCCCTGCCCCTGCTGGGGGAACTGAGATCCAGGTCCTGCTCAGCCAAACCCCCCGCCAAGCAGTACTGAGCCCCAGGATCCTCATCTGTGAAGGAGACTAGGCCCTGTGCCGCCTGCCGGGGGAGGCCAGGACTCTCTCATGGCAGAAGGAGGCACTTCGGATTCACCGAGGATCCCTCAGAGAAGGACCTGAAGGCAGACTGTGGGTCCTGCAGGAGTCACAGCCCTGGGATCCTATACTATGTGCTCAGGCCTACACACTGCCACCTGCACGAGGCATTGTTCTAACAATAAAGGGGACTCTGTCTAATGCTATTTAGCTTTTCAACCTTTTCATAGAAATTTAAGAATTAGAAAAAAAAAATCCTCTGACAAATTAGAAATCCCAATTCTAGGTTTATAACAAGATGTAGACCCAATATATGGGGAAAAGTGAGAGTTCTTTCTGAGCCTCCAGCAGACTCTGCACCAGGCAGGCCCTATGTCTGGTCCACTGCCGGGACCCCAGCACCGAGCCCATGACCTGAGATTAAGGAAGGAGACTTCAGGAAATGTTTGGGGAACTGTTTGGACCTGTTTCCCCATCTGTAAAATGGGGGAGTCGGAATATACCCGACCCAGCTCCGGCACTCTGAGCCCCTGTAGCCATTTCCCCAGCAGATCAGCCCGGGCATGAGTTGGGGTGGGTGCTGTGCCCCGAGACATGAGGAGGGGCACAGCACCCCCTGGAGAGCCCACAGCACAGACACGTCTCCCCCAGGCCCCCAGACACGGGATAGGGAAGAGGAGGAGGAGGAGAGAAAGATGGGGGGCAAGGGAGGGGCTGAAGGCCTCTGAGGGGGAGGGGAAAAGGGGCAGAGGAAGAGAAGGAACAGGAAGTCCTCAAGCCCAGCTCACCCTCAAGGTGGATGCCGTTAGAAGATCTGGCAACCAGGCAGAATGGAGCAGCGGGCTGTGGGGCTGTGGGGGTGTGCGGCTGCGGGTCGTCAGGGACATGACCCTCTGTACTCAAGGGTCTTGGGCTGGGCTAGAGTACTTACCCACCCCGCGACACCACCAGCTTCACTTTCACTTTGTAGGAAACAATGATGCCCAGGATCTCCCTGTTGGCTCCTTCCCTCAACCTGCACGGCGACATAGGGAAGCCGGTTCATGGGTGGACGAGACATGGTGGGAGTGGGGCGCAGTGGGGGGCAGCAGCCATCCATCCCTCTCCTGGGCCACTCAACCACCATGTGCAAGCAGAGCCCAGCGTGTGAGAAAGGTGAGCTCTGCCCTCAGGGAGCGGGCCCTGGGAGTGGCATTCCATATCTGGCTGTGCGCCCCATCCCATCGGCCCCTTTCCCCCAGGGCCTGTGTCCCAGTGGTGCAGGGAGCAGCGGCCCCTTCCTGCTCTCAGTGGATGGACTCTGCTTCTCTCCCTGCTCAGCAGCCCGTGGGTTACAAGGGGCTGGGCTGGGAGTTCAGCGAGGAGTTGGCGGAGGAGAGGAGAGGGTATCAGGGAGGACCCTGGAGGAGGTGGAGCCTCAAGTGGGCTTTGAAGGCAGGGAGGACTTGAGCCAGCGTGGAAGAAGAGGTCAGACGCCCTGAAGTGAGCAGGCAGCCTGTGCGGGGGCTGGTGAGAGACCGTTTGGGCTGGAGCACACGGCCCGTGTGGAGAGTGGAGGCAGGGGTGCTGCAGAGGAGGCCAACGCCTCATTGAAGGGCCAGACTTCGCGGGTAGGGTAAGATGGGTTCCCCACACCCCCTGGGCTCTGCTAGAGCAGGGTGGCCTCAGAGGGTCAGTGATGACCAGAGGGAGGAGTGACCATACGGCCCTGGAATCCCTGCCTTTGAGGGGCACCCCCAGATCTGGTCCAGCCCAGCTCACTTCCCTCATCTCTCCAGACTCCCCAGGCCCTCCTGATTCATCCTCTCCTGCTAGGATCCTTCCAGGAGACACTCCCTTCCTCCCAGCCTTGCTCTGCCCCAGGGACACCCCCATCTGACTGAAGACACTAGGTCAGGAGCTGCTGCCTCCTGCAGGAAGTCCCTCCAGGTTGCCCTCCCCTAGGCAAGCCAGCAGAGCCCAGCACTGACCAAGGGAGCTGGGTCTAGGGGTCCATCTCGTTCTCTGGGTCACCCCTGGATAGGGTTGGGGCAGTGGGACAGCTTCCTTGGCAGGTCAAGCTCCTGAGGATGGGCCCTGGACAATGCTTGGGGAGAGGGTGGCCCGAGCCTGGGCTGGGCCTGCTGGGACCATGGTGGGTGTGGCCCCTTTGGGGAGGGGGGGCATCCAGGGGCAGGTCCTCACAGGGTGCTGGAGGCCAGGTTCGTGTCTTCATGCTTGAGCTTCCCGTCCAGGGCAAGGCCCCGCTTCTCTCTGTTGTTGGCCAGGAAGGGGGTCAGCGTGTAGACCTTGCAGAACGTCGAGCTGGGCGCTACTGTGTCGCTGGGAAGAAGGAAGACAGGTGTGGAGACGCAACCCCCTCCCCCAGAGCCAACCCCAGCCCTCACCCCTAGCCCAGCCAGGACATCGAGCCTGGCCCTGCTCCAAGCCTCCCTCCCCGGCAGGGGCCACAGGGCCAGGCCCAGCTCCGGCAGAAAGACACTGCCACCCAACAGAGGCACATCTCTGCTCCACACGCAAACACCAGTGACTCTGGGATGATCCAACAACTTCATTCATGGTTTGTAAGTAGCTGCAAGTTTTGAAAAATTCAATGTACTGCTGCTTGATGCGGATGTTTTAGTGGAGAGAGCATGGACTTTAGTTTTCTAATATTTTATTACAAAAAAATTTTAAACATCTAGAAAAGTTGAAAGAATTGTGCGGTGAACACCCATACGCCCACCACCTGGGTTCCACGATGAAAACCCTACTCGCTTGAGCTCAGATCTGTCCTTCGAGTGTCCAGTGTTCTGACTGCTCTGTTTTTACTTGCTCTTGTTCTCCAGGCCCCTGAGCAACAGTGAGAGAGCCGGCACGCAGCCCAGCCAACACTTGGAGTCAGCCGGCCTAGGTTCGAGCCCCAGCTCTGCCACTTGCTGGCTCTGTGAGACCGAGCAAATGCCACCTCTCTGGCTCCACTTCCTCCTCCACATGCTGGGTGCAGGCACCCAGGCCTTCGTGAGGACTAAGCAGGACCCTGAGTGTGAACACCTCCCCCATCCAGGCTGATGTCTGTTACATGCGGGGCCATTGGAGGACTCTGGATTTTCCACTCTTTGGGGATGATATTTACCCTGGCTCTAGAGGCACTTCATTGTACCCCCCACCCCTCAACAGGAATCTATGCCTCGTGGCTTTGATTTTTTTTAAACCAAGAGTGGACATCCAACAATAGGGAAATGTTTGATCCAGTCATAGCCTGTTTACCTTTAGGCATTAAAAACGATCTCAAAGACCACGTGGTAACATTTAAAAAATGCTAAGTTGCAAAAATACCGATTGCTATTATATGTAAATTAATACACACATATATGAAAAATTACATGAAGTGCAATTGCCCCCCGAAAATTATTTGCAGGGCCGGGAGAAAAAACAAGTGTGTCTTCCAGTGGGAGCATCTACTTCCTCTAGGTGAGAAGAGATGTTTCACTTGATTGTTCCTCTTGCCTTAGCTGCTGACAAGTTTGGGACAAAGTTCCATGCTAAACCATAGTAGCTCTTCTCAAACCCAGACTTTTTTTTATATATAATTATTATCTACCCTCCCACACACACCTCTTCTACCCAATGAACTGGATTATTCCTTTATCAGACAAGAAAAGCTGCCTATCTGGTGTCTTTCCCTCTTTGCCTTGGACTGCCAGGAAGCTCAGAGCAAAGTATCTCCCTTCAATCTAGGCTTCTGATACAGTGTAATTATTCTTTTCTCTCCGTGACCCTAGTCCTCTTAGATTCATTAGCTCTTATTTTGTCATTCTAGTTTTAGTGGGTCTTTTCCCTGACCATAGCATGCATTTCCTTGTAGCTAAATCAAGTAGATGGCTTCTAAAACACTGTTGAGGATCAGCTACTCTGAGTGGCAAGGAATTCTGAGGCTCAGCCCACTGCCAGGTGGAGAAGAGCCATCCAGGCCTGACCCAGGGCTTCTCTTTTCCCCACCCAATCCCACGCATCCAAGGCCGGGCTTGTGCTCACTTACTCAGCCTCCTCCATGGCCACGGGGCACTTGTACTGGGCTGTGTTGAAAAGGCAGATGTCCGCATACTGGCGCACTGGGGAGGAAGAGGGAACCAAGGTGATGTGAGCCAGGGTGCAGCTCCCAGGCATCCCAGGTTCCCCTGAGTTGGGGATGTTCAGCCCTAGGCAATGGCCAGAGTCTTCAGGGGCTTCTGCAGGAATCAGTCCCCATCCTCCACCCAAAGGGCAGTCCCAAACACACCCATTCCCTTTCATAACCAAAAGTCTTCCCCTCAAGGACAGCTCTGTCCAGAACCCAGGGGACCTAAGAGAAGAGGCAGCTTAAACAGTAAACTTATTACCTGGCCAATAAGCAGCCTGTGTTACCAGCCTCAAAAGCCTTACCCTTCAGCTTAGAGCAGTAGTTATTCACAAGGCTGTGGACAGAGGAGAGCCTCCAGCTACCCCAGCCCTTGGGAGGACTGCCTCTTGCCCGCCCCTGGGCTGGCCCTCTGCCCGGGATACCCGAGATCTTGATCTTCTTCACTGTCTTGTTGGTGTTGTTGGTGACATGGACGTTGACACTAATGGGTTCTCCGTGGTAATAGATCTGGGGGGCATAAGAAGGGACAAGGGTTGGATCAGAGGGTCTCAAAGATCCAGGTAAGGGGGAGGGAGAAGAGGCTCCACCCGCATCTCCTGGGCTCCCCAGACCTCGGCCACTCTGACACCGGCCCCAAGTTCATCAGCCACTTCCCACCGATGCTCAACCACCGGGCATGTTAGACTTTAGTTCCTTTGTGGGACCTTGAGAGATAACTGAATTAGAAGGTGATATTCCTGGGCTCTAGTCCTAGCTTGGCCACCAGAAATAGTGATAACAATAACAATAACCACAATAGCAAGGATGAGGGCAGTGTGACCTTGAACAGGTTATCTAAGTCTTAGTTTCCCCATCTGCACAATGAAGGGGTTAGACTAGGTGAGGTATCAAGTCCCTGCCGGCTCTGGCTGCCTGGAACTTTAGACACAGGAGGGTCTGGAAGCAGGAGGAAGGTGGGGAAGGGCTGCCCCCCTCACTGAGGGACCCAGCTCTGAATCCTCACTGAGGGGCCTCAACTTGCGTCTCGCTCCAAGCACTTGCCTTCAGCTGCCCCGGAGAGGGAGACAGGTGCCCACACTTCGAGGAGGGGCCAGCCTGAAGATGGGGGTGGTGGCAGAAAGCCCCCGTGCCTTCCTGCAGCAGGGTTTGCTGTCTTAGAGCTCAGGTCTGGCAGGGTTAGAGCAGGGGGTTCGCACCCCCTCTGCCAAGCCGGTTGGTCGTTGGGCCGGGGGCAGAAGCTCCTACCCGAGGGGTCCCAGGGGCCATAGAGAGCTGGGGTCAGAGGTCCCAGCTCTGTAGAGCAGCTTCCACCCCCCACCAAGTCTGAGCCTCTTACCTCCTTATCCAGGGAGGCCTCGAGGTGCAAGGGCTTGTCCGACATGAGGAACTGCCTGGTGGTCTCCGCTGTGGGCTGGGGGCCAGGCCTCTCCGGGGCATACTGAACCTTCCTGATGACCAGGCGCACAGAATTCCTAATGGAGATGGGCAGAGCGGAAGATGACCAGAGTCACTTGCCTCCATCCCCTTTCCATGCAATTCTCACATCTCTCCTGCTCAAGAAACTGCCATGGCTCCCCATGGCCTTAGAATCCAGTCTAAACTGCAGAGGTTGCCAGAGGGGCCTTGTCACCATCTGGCACCACTCCATCCTCCCCATTCTGTCCCCAGCCACCCCCACTTCCTCACTGTCATGCTTGATGGCCTATCTAGTCTTATCTGAAGCTTCGCTTGCACTGCGCCCCTCACCTATTACACCCTCTTCCCACTTCTGCCCTCATTTGCTTCCTTCTTCAAGGCCCAGCTAAATACCTCCTCTTCCAGGAAACCCGCCTGGATCCACCCACTCTGATCCTCTCCTGCTCTGAACCCCCACAACATCAGAGGCTGAACCACTCCGTGGCAGCGCTTCCCGTGGGTCTTTGTGTTGGTGCCCAGCAGGACGGTAAGAAAGGGACTATGTCTACACTTCCTGCATCCCTTATGTCACCCAGTAGAGTAAGCTCCTTAAGAACAGAAATTTCTATCTAAATGGTTCATTGCTATATTCTCAGCACCTTGATCTGCCTGCCATATACTAAATGCCTGTTAAATATCTGTTAAATAAAGATATGCAGAGGGGGACAGGGGCGTCATGAAGAAATGGGGGCTCGGAGAGGGGACGGGTTCAGTGGAGGGGTGCAGATTCAGTCAGGCGGTTGCAGGCCAGTGAAGAGGATAAAGACTCAGTGAGAGGATGGAGGCCCAGAGATGAGATGGGCTCAATGAAGGTGACAGGGGCTCGCTCAGGAGGACACAAGAACAGGAGGCCGTGGTGAGGGGAGGGGGACTCAGTGAGCAGTCTCTGTCGCATGCTGGGCATGCTGGCGCCCTCATTTCTCAGACAAGCCACGTCCATTCCCTGGAACTGGAGAGTCAGGGTTAAAGTCCTGGCCCTCCCCTCACTAACTATATGACCTTGAATAAATGAACCTCTGTGCCTCAGTTTCCTCATCTATAAAATGGTAATAGCATTTTACATAATAGCTCTCTTACGGCTGCTGTCAGGCTTAAATTAGTTCACACATATCCATCACTTAGAGCAGTGTCTGGCACCTAATGAGCCCTTGATGAATGATAGTTGCTATATCATTATTAGTAGTAACTCTGGCGGGGACTTAAATGTCCCATTGGTGGGGTGAGGGTGGTGGCTGTTAATAGTGCCTCCTCTTCCCTGCTCTGGCCAGGCCTCTCCCACAACCCACAAGCCCCTTCCTTTCCCCTGGTCTCAGGTCTTAAGAAGAAAAGGGGGACAGAGAGGCGAGAGAGAAGGGTCCCATCTCCCTATACACGAGGTGCCCAGGCTGGAGATGGAGATGCCTGCAATACATCACGTAGCCACCAGGTGGCAAACACAGCCCACTCCCTCAGCGCTTGCAAGGCCTCAGCCAGCCTCCTGCAGGAACCGTCCCTTCGGAGGCAGGGCAGGACCTGACCCCAAGAGGAGCAGGCGTGGTGAGAGCGGAGCTGGGCAGCCCACCCCAGAAGGCAGGACCAGCTGATTCCGGCTGCCAGCCTGGGTTTTCTGTCTGCCCAGGGCTGTGCCTCTTCAGGAGAATGCTTCCCCTCTCTGAGGCACGCACTGACCTCCTTCTCCCTCTCCCCGGGGTGGGTTCACTTTCCCCACTTCCCTCCCTGTCTTAGAAGCCTCCATCGACACCCTCCCCCACCCACCTCCTGCTGAGGCCTGCCTCCCAGGAGGACTGGGAAATGGGGGTCCAGGCTAGCCAGGAATCATCTTGCTCACTGGTTAAAACATTATGAATTTCGATTTTTTTTCCAAAGCAAAATAAAAAGACATGCAGTCTGGAGGGGATAAGACTAGAGGCAGGGAGATGAAGGAAGCAGGTATGGTGGTGCAAAGAAAAAATGCTGAGGCCTGAGTCAGGGCAATTGAGCCACCTCCCCCAGGAAGCCCTCCATGACCCGCCAGCCTTCCAGAGTGCCCTTCTCAGAGCTCCCAAGGCTGGAATATGCTGCCCCTCCTCGCACACTTCCAGGTATTGTTAGTTATCTCTTCTTCGGACTTTGCACAGCCCGTGTCCCTCCCTCTGCCAGCATGCAGCCCACACCCAGGCCGGGAGCTGAAGCTGCGCCCTTCTCACCGCTTGTGGATCTTCTCCTCCAGGTTCTCTGCGCAGAAGGCTTTGACTTCATAGTCCACGCCACAGGCCTATAGGGAAGGGGTCGCTGATCACAGGCCCTTGGAGAGGGCAGGGGCCCGAGAGCACGGCCAGCCCACCCTCTCATTTTACAAACGAGGATGCTGGATGGAGACACCAAGCTCCCGCAGCCCCAGCACCCCTGCGTCTGACCCGGAAGCCCTGTGCTCAGCCCCAGGGCTATGCTGCCTCCCTCTGTGGCTGCCTCCCCCATCTGACCTTCACACCACTGCTCCCCGGCTCCCCCAACACAGGACGTCCCCAAACCCCCTAACTGGGCTCCACTCCCCAGACTCCTGCCTTGTGTGGGTGGCCCTCCTCATCAAGGCAGCTGCCCGGAAATAACAGCAGGCGCCTCAGCAGCCCTGTTCTGGGAGCACCTCCTGGGTGCAGACCTTGCCCTGGTGTGTGGCTTCAGCGTCTCACTCGACTGTCTCAACAACAGGAGGCACGTCCTATTGTCCCCATTTCACAGATGAGGAAACTGGGGCTCAGAGATCTGGGGCCTGTGACACCAGTGGTGTCACTTCCCTCTGAGCCTCAGTTTCCCCACCCGTGAAATGGCAATGATTGCACCGCCATATGAGGTTGTGAGGCCCAGTGGTGGTCCAGAGAACACTTTGGTCCTGGTGCAGCCAACACTGAGGCCAGGGAGAGTGACACAGGAGAGCCTCTGAGCACAGAACCGAATGTGGGGCTGGGGAGACCTGATCTGCTGCCCTGTCTGAAGAGACTGCTTATCTGAGGCAGGATAGGCCTGGCCTAGACACAAAGAGGCTTCCACGGGGAGGGCTCCAGCACCGCCCAGAGAGAAAGCCAGGGGCCTGGAGACACAAGTGTCCCGCACCCAGAGAGATGCTCCCTTGGGAGTGACCTACCTTCCCGGTATCTTCAGGCCCTGGCTGCAGGGTCACAGAGCATGGGAGGTTTGGAGGGATCTGTTAGGAGGACAGACAGAATGAGCCACTGTCATGTTCACCACTGACCTCCCCGTGTCTCCCCCGACCCGCCACCTCCACACACATTCACCAGACCAGGGGCCCCCGAGGACAGGCCACGTCTCCTCCATCAGACCATGCCAAGCCATGGCCCACGCTGGGCCAGAGGCCCCTCCAGTAAAGACAAGGATTTGAGGGTTTTCTTTATGTAAAGATTTAGCCCGGCCCAGTTCTCAGAACCACAGTTGAAAAATGTCCTTCCATGCTGTCTAGTGTGGTAGGCAGAATAACAGCCTCCCAAAGATGTCCACGTCCTAATCCCCAACACCTGCCAACTGTTACCTTACAGGGCAAAAGGGACTTTACAGGCGTGATTAAGGATCTTGAGTGGGGGGATTATGCTGGATGGGCCCGATGTAATCACGGGAAGCAGGAAGTAGAAGAGTCAGTGTCAGAGTGAGGGGAGGGGAGAGAGACTCCGCTGGCCACGCTGGCTTTGAAGATGGGGGTAGGCTACGTGCCAAGGCCTGTGAGTGGTCTCTAGAAGGTGGAAAAGGCAAGGAAACAGATTATCTCCTAGAGTTTCTAGAAGGAATGCAGTCCTGCCAAGGCCTTCATTTTAGTCCAGTGAGACCCATTTTTGACGTCTGACCTCCAGAAGTTTAAGATAATCAATTTGTGTTTTAATTGGCAGGTTTCATTACTCCCAGGTTCGTAGTGGTTTGTTACAGCAGCCACAGGAAACCAACACATCCACAGTGGAGAGGATGACTCGGCTCCTCTCCTTCTCTAACCCTCGCCAAAAGCAAGAGGATTTCACTGAACCACAGTCTGAAAACAGGAAACTTTGTGTGTGTGTGTGAGGAAGATTGGCCCCGAGCTAACATCTGTTACCAATCCTCCTCTTTTTGCCGAGGAAGATTGTCCCTAAGCTAACATCTGTGCCCATCTTCCCCTACTTTATATGTGAGACGCCACCACAGCATGGCTTGATGAGTGGTGTGTAGATCCGCGCCTGGGATCTGAACCTGCGAACCCTGGGCCACCAAAGCGGAGTGTGCAAACGTAACCACTACGCCACCGGGCCGGCCCCATGACAGGAAATTTTTAAATCCAGAATCTTGGAGTCTGGGGATGGAAAGGTGGCAGCACAGGGACATCACTCCTTGCTGTCCCCAGTTTGTGGGCTGGGCCGGGGCCATGAACATGGTCTGAGGGAGGAGACAGCCTTGCAGTGACCCCGAGGGGGAGGAAGGCTTCCTTCTTTCTCTGCAGCCCCCCCACCCCCTTTCTCCCACCAATGACCTGGACTCAGGAGGGGTCGAGTAGCCCAGACGTAAGGGTAACACCCCGGCAGTGGCCAGAGAAGAGACACTTACCAGGCGGCCTAAGGGACAGTGCCCCCAGTCCCAGCATGCCCTGGGAAACGGGGTGACGGGGAGCTGCTGCCCCAGCTGCCCCCATGTGCCCGCCCAGAGGGCCTCCTAGAGGTGGCGCGTCTGGAATGGGGCCCCCGGGGCTGGTGGTCCCTGACCTCAAAGGTGAAGGGGTAGGCGTGCTCGCCCAGCTTCTTGATGAGGCGCTCCTGCAGCCGCGTCAGAGGCTTCTTGTCCTCGGGGGACGGCGGGAAGGACTGCACGTTGGCCACAAACAGGTCCTTGCGAAAGGTCAGGCCCAGGACATCCAGGTCCTCACGGCCATAGCGGAAGGCGCAGGTCAGTGTCACATAGACTGTGGGAGCAGGGGGCACTGAGGGGTGCCTGGGAGGGCAGCAGATGAGCCCCCCCAGAGCGCCAGCTGCAGCCCTGGGTCGGCCCAACTGGAGGCCACAGGTCTGTCCCAAAGCTCCCGGGGGGAGGGTGGCACTGCCCTTGGGATGGTGGGCTTGGGTACCTGGAGGAGCCACCCACACCTGGTCCCTGGGAGGAGGGGACAGCTGACTGCTGGGTCAGTTCAGTCCTTCTCCACCCCCAGCCCAGCCCAGGGGACGTGCAGAGGGAGGGGCACAGGAGATGCTCTGACAGGGTTGGTGGGGCTGGAGTAGGCGGGCAGGACAGGGGTGGGGCCTGGGGAAGGAGTACGGTTGGAGAGAGCAGAGGGAGGGGGAACAAGCGCTGGGTGGTGTCCGGAATGCCTGGGGTCTCCCAGCCCAACCCCCGCTCCTGTCTTCCTGCTGACCTTGGACCATCCCTCCACCTCCCTGGGAACCAACTTTCTCTTCTGTAAAATGAGACCCTAACTCCTGCCTGTTCGCATCCCCAGCCTTGGGACAGTCGTGATATACTGATGTGAAAGTGCTCACTCAGGGCATTGAAAATGTTCTCCCAGGCCGGAGGAGGCAAGGGCCCCTGCTCTGATGTTCGTTGGCACTGTCAAGGGAAGAACTGGTGGGAATGGGCAGGGAGAGGCAATAAGATTAGCCGATGTCCTGCCTGGGAGTCAGGGAGGCCCTGGGCTGGAGGTTGGTGAGGGAAGAGGAGGCCCCTTGACTAGCTGCGGGTGGGGCCCCAGTCTCACCTCTCCTCTCCTTGAGATACTCAGGATCCACCAGGACCACACCATCTGGAGAAGGACAGAGAGTGAACAGACCTTCCCGACTTGACCTCTCAAACTCCTGAGCCCCAAACACCAAGCCAAACCCAAACCCAACCATCTGTCCAAACACATCATGAGAGAAAGGAGAAGGCCAGCACCCAGGGGATGTTACCGCCCTTCCCCACCATCTCCCCCAGGCTGACCTTACAGACCCAGCTGGTGACTTTGGGAAGGTTCCTTAACTTCTCTGTTTTTTCCTCTGTTAGTAAGAATAATAACATGGATCCAAAACCCCTATGATCAGGTATACTTTGGAATTTAGAAGTTTTTTTGTGGTTTTTTTTTTTTTTTTTTTTTTTTGGTGAGGAAGATCAGCCCTGAGCTAACATCCGTTGTCAATCCTCCTCTTTTTTGCTGAGGAAGATTGGCCCTGGGCTAACATCCGTGCCCATCTTCCTCCACTTTATATGGGACGCCGTCACAGCACGGCTTGACAAGCGGTGCGTCGGTGCGCGCCCGGGATTCAAACCCGCGAGCCCCGGCCGCCGCAGCAGAGTGCGCGCACTTAACCGCTGCGCCACCGGGCCCTGGAATTTAGAAGTTTTAAATTGTAGAAAGGCCATATGGTACATCTTCCTTATATTCTGTGACACCCTCTGCAGGATCAAACCCATTCATACCTCGGCAGGGAAATGTGAATATTCTCACTAAGAGGCTAAATGAGGCATAAAGAGCCTCCTGTTGGTTCAGGTCAGGTTTTGCTACTAAATGAATTCTGCATCAAACTTAGGCACAATTTTAGGCTTTCAGAGCCTGCTGGATTTGGGATTTGCAGATCAGGGGTTGTGACCCTGTAGTTCCTCCCTCATAGGGCTCCTGTGAGGACTCAATGAGTTAACGCGTGTAGCGTTAGATGGTGCCTGGCACATGTGACACCATGGAGGACGTCCCAATGCCTGGCCTTGGGAGTGCAGAGTCCAGCCGGACACAAACGACCCAGAACCCCAGGAGGCCAGAAACACTGACTCAGGGGTCACCCCCTTGCTGACATCCCCAGTCTAACCCACTGCCCCCTCACCCCACACTGCCCCCCACAGCCGACCCCTCAAGGAATTTCAGAGGCCACACCTGGAAGTGAGTTCCCAGAGGACACCTGGTCCTATCCCAGTCCTGGGCAGGTCCAAGGACAGCTGGTCAGGGGAGTGCCCACCTGTCCCCAGAGCCTGCCGTGCATCGTCCCTCCTTTTACTGTGGGCGTTTCCTCTGCGCCTGGGCACCAGGGCTCCGTGGAAAACTCGGTGGAGAGGGCATCCCAGAGGGGGTACTCCCCCCAACCAGGGGTGTCAGGCGGGGCTCCCTGGGGGAGGGAAGCTGGAGCCGGGTCTTAAAGGGCAAGTAAGGGTGGTCAATTAGACGACCAAGGGACAGCGCTAGGCGGGCAGTGGGAGGAGCAGGGCTCCGCGGCTTGCGAGAGCAGACCCCAGAGCCAGTGGAGGAAGGGGGGCCAGGCCTGACCTTAAATGTCATCTGTGAGGCCGAGGGGCTTGGACTTGCCCCTGAGTTTGAAGGGGAACCACGGGGGATAGTTAAGCATCCGGAAGACATAATCCTCTCAGTGTCGTGATGGAGAAGTATTTCTCACGTGGGTCATTCGGTGAGGTGCGGACAGTGCCCAGCGCAGTGCCCAGCGCTCTCCGGGATCCCCAGGGCCGGGCACGCAGCAGGTGCTCAGTGAACCCCTGCTGCACAGCTCTCAGGGTGCCGCTGTGTGCTGGGGAGCCAGCTCCTCCCGCTCCTGCCCTCCCCCGGCCTCTGTGCCCCCCTGCTGCTGTCCCTAATAGGCCAGGTGGACAGCCGTGGCCTCAGCCGGCCCACTGGAAGTTGCACCGTGAAGCAGGCCACAGGCGAACACCGGGATGCTTCCTCACTGCCTCCAAGGGGCCCGCTCAGGGGGGAGATGCAAACGGCAGCAGGGACAGTGAGCTCGGAGCACAGCGAACAGAGTCCCCAGGCAGGGCAGGAGGAAAAGTGGGGTCGTCCTGCTCTGGGCAGGAAGGGAGCGGCCCGGCGGGGAGCTGACCTCTCCGCAGCCTCCCGGCCCTGCTCACATCCCACCCGCACGGGGACTCAGGGACCCCCCCAGGTCTCCTGCCCCAACTTCACAAAGGTCTTCCTCCCGGCGAGCTGAAGCCTGCCGCTGTGCTCTCGGCCCCCGCTTAGGTTCTGGAACAGCACGTCACTCCTGCCCTCCCGGACCCAGGACAGCCCCCAGGGATGTGATGACAGAGGCCACATTCTCTCTGACTTCCCCCAAGCAACACATTCCAGCTTCTTCACCTGGACTTGGCCTCAGGCAGTTTCCAGTGCCCATCCTCCCCACCGGCCACCTTCTCTGTTCATGTCCCTCTTTAAAAAACCATTTAACCTCTCTGGGTCTCACCGTCCCCACATGTAAAATAGGGATAACTCTGGGCCTCTCTCCTCCAACAGAAGAGGCAGAGGATTGAGGCTCTTCTAATGAGAGCTATGGTTCTCAGAATCCTAACCAGGGGTGATCGTGCGCCCCAAGGGGCACAATCTAAAAACATGTTTGATTGTCATATTGGGATGGGGGCACTCCTGGTGTCTACTGGGCAGAGGCCAGGGGTGCTGTTAAACATCCTATAACGCACAGGACAGCCCCCACCAGCAAAGAACTATCAACCCAAAGTGTCAAGAGTGCTGAGGCTCAGAAACCCTGAACTAGACTAAGACCTTGGAATGTGCCTTCAGCTGCAGCCCAGCCTCCGGCAAGACCCCCATCTCGGTGAGGACAGCCTCCATTTCACAAGCCCCAAGGTTTTCATTCCATCTCCCACCCTTTGCCATCTGGAGGCAGCAGAACAAAGGTGGAGCCAGGCTGCCCGGGTTTGAATCCAGGCTCCTCGACCTACTAGCTTTGTGACCTAGAGCAAGTCAGTCAACCTCTCTGGGCCTCCTTCTCCTCATCTGTGAAGCAGAGACAATAATAGTAGCTATCCCCAGTGCCTGGCACTTCATCAGCCTCACAGTAAGCGGTGGCTGCTGTCGTCGTCCTTATCCTCCTCATTCTCATCAGGACGCCTTCCCTGCTTCTCACCTCACCCCTCCACACAATTTCCTCTCACGTGGCCCTCTGTCGAAGGGGAAAGCAGCTGCTCGGTAAACGTTTGCTGACTGAAGCAGGAAGCCACTCACACCCCCTTCTTGGCACCCGGCTCCTCCAGAGACCTGAGGGCTGCTACTGGGAGTTTCAACACACCCGTCTCTGGAAGGGTCCTGGCCAGCCCCGTCTCCCCCCTCGCTTTCCTCCCTGGCCTCAGGGACTCACCCACAGGGTCCACGAGGTCGATGTGGTCCACAAAGTCCCGCTTTCCCAAATAGACGGTGAGCTGGGGAGGAGAGGCACAGGGACGTTAGCAGCTGTGGGCCTGGAGGACACCTCCCTGAAAAGCTGCAGGCCCCTGCCCTGGAGGACACCCTGGGAGCTGCCCCTGAAACCCCTAGACCCATCCTTAACCCTGATCGAAATCCTAACTGGACTTGGACCTGAGCTCCAGCCCTAATACTAAGAATAACAAACCTTACACAGTTTTGAAAGCACCTGTTCATCCCAAACCCCTATGAAGAAGTTATTGTTCCCATTTTACAGATGAAGACACTGAGGCCCAGAGAGAGCTTCACATTGAGCACCACTGAGGGTGGAGTAGCAGCAGCAAAGAAGCCCGCTGAGCAGGAGCACTGGGCACATCTCTGAGAAACCCAGAGGGGGGCCAGGGGGGCCGAGAGTTGCGGGTGCTCTGAACACTGAGCTCTGTCTCTCCGTTGCTCCTTGTCCCTGTGCAGCTGGCAGGGACCCACTCAGAGCAGGACTTGTTTTCCAAGGCAGTGAGGAACTGGGAGCCGGTGCCCCACTTAAGAGCCGGCATTCAGAGAAGAACTCCTGAGCCAGAATCCAGAGTCATCCAAGATGCTTCCTGCTCCTCCACAATCCCTAAATCCCAATGAGTCTCCCGCCATCATATTTCTCAATCCACCCCCCCGCAACAACCACTCTCGCCTGGACTATACACCAGCAGCCCCCCACCCCCCATGGTCAGCTGTCTGCAGCCTCATGCACTCTGGGCCATTCTCCCCTCCTTAGCCAGACTGGTCATCCTAAAATGCAAATCTAATGATGCTACTCTGGTCTGAAAAACCTTTAATGGTTCCTCAGTGCCCAGAGGTAAGATGACAAATGGGTTTCATTCCAAATGCCAATTCTGATCAATTGGTAGGGGCTGCCTGGGGCTGTGGGCTGAGAAGGAATCTAGGATGGATCTTGGCTCAGCAGGAAAGCGTGAACTGTGACTGGTGACGTCTGCAGTGGGCACAGAAGGGAGACGTGGCAGCACACGTGGCGCTATCTGCCAGCCCAGGCCAGGAGTCCACGCACCTAAGCCCAGCCCCGAGACTCCCCAGGACCCAGCCCTGCAGCCTCCCCGCTCAGCTCCGGCTCCCTCTGCCTCCCTGTTGGCACTCAGATGCAACTGCTGTGATCCCCACACTCCTTACGATTTATGTGCATGCCTAGAACTAGGCTTTCACCCCGCCTTGCCTGGAAATGCATCCCTCCTAGGGGAGGCCACCCCTGACCACCCAGGCTGGGTCCCGCAGCCCCGGGCATCCCTTTATCTCACACCTGCCCCTTTACATTGAAATGATCAGTTTCTGTGTCGGCCTCCTGCCTCCGGCTGTGAGTGGCACAGGCTGTGCCTTATCTATCTCGGTACAGCCTACCCCAGTCCCCACGGGCTCGGCCCGACCTGACATGGAATGATGATGTTGGTATATCTATCTGCTAAACTGAAAGGAAGCGGGATGGAGCCTGGGGCCTGTGGGAAGAAGGCAGGCAGGACAGGCCCTGGGAGCTGCCCCGATAACAGGCGCCCCCAGGGTCCAGTAAAGGCTGCAGGGGCATCTCCCACCAGGGAATCAGGCCCCCTGAGGCCCCTGGCACTTACTCTAATTATTGCCCTCACACTGAAGTCTCTCTATGATAGGCCCCATCTCCTCACACCAGAGCGAGGACACCTTAAAGTCCAAGGGAGTCGTACTGCCCCCTCAGACAGAAAGCTTCCTGAGGGCCCCTCCCCTGTGGTTGAGAGCTGGGGCTCCCCTGCAGACGGGGCTGTGCAGGGTCCCGCAAGGTCAGGAGAGATGCCCAAGACAGGACGAGTCTGGGGTCAGGGAGGAGCCGGGGGGCTGTTGATGGAGACTCACCTTTCCATTGGGGCTCGCCTTCTTGAACACCCTGCAGAGAGAAAGAGGGAAGGCCAGGGTTAGCACATCTCGCCCAGGGGAAGGCTCCTGCGGGCCATCCCTCTGCAGGACCGAGGACAAGGGGCCCAGAGTGACTTTCAGGCACCAACCAAGCGTTGAGAGCAGCAACAGTGCCGGCATAATCAGATATCACCATCTTCACCGCTGCCCCCACCCAAGCCGCACTGTCGCCATTATAGGTCTCCTGGGCTCCGGCCACGGCCCCTCAGTCTGTTCTTCCCAGCAGGTGGAGAGAGGCTGTCAGGATGTCAGTCGTACTCCGCCACCCAAACTCCTCCTGGCTGGCGCAGGGAAAAGCCCGGAGTGCCTGTAAGGTCTGGAGGTTGCCCTGCCTCCTTTCCCTCCCGCATCACCTCCCACTGTTCTCCCTCACTCCTCCAGCCACATGGCAGCTTGCTGGGGTTCCTCCAACACACCAGGTCGGTTCCTGCCTCAGGGCCTTTGCTTGAGCAGTCCCTCCCCAACAGCTCTGCTTGCCAGCCCCCCCCACCCTTACATGATGGGGCCTCGCCCTGTGCCTACTCCCCACTCCCACTCCTGCCCTCGCTCCACTTTTCCTTTTCCCACAGTGCCCACCACTGTCTAACCTACTACATGAGGGGCTTGCTGACCACATTCACGCCTATCCACTGCTAACGTGTCAGCTCTGAGGGCAGGGATCCTGTCTTTTTCATTCACTGACGTGTCCCAAGCCCTAGAAGGGCACACCTAGTGGGTGTTTAACAAAGACGTGTTAATGAATGGTAGGGAGCAAGCACTCAATAAATATTAGTTGAGCGAGTGAATGAATGAATGAGTGAAGGAATCAACTGAGAAACTGAGGCCCAGGAAAGGGAAGGAATTGCCCGTGGCCACAGCAGAGCACTGGACATGGGGTCAGGCAGAGGCATGGTCCCCACTCCCGCCAAGCGCTCCCTGCCTTCCAGAGCACAGTGCAGCCTCCCCCAGCTGGGTGTGGGAGCCTGAGACCCCCTCACCTAGCGCCCATCATCTAGCCCCAGAATTGCTCAGGGTAATGTTGGGAGGGAGAGAAGAAAAGCGAAAGACAGCGACAGAGACCCTGAGGATAAGAGAAGGTGTTAGAGGAGGGAGGGAAGGGAGGAGAGGACAGGGATGCAGGCCCTGGAGGTGTGACAACAGATGAAAAAACAAACAAACAAACAACAAGAGAGGGTGAGGGAGATGCAGCAGACAGAGCGATGGAGCAGGCCCACACGTAGCTGAGAGGAATCCACGCAGCCCAAATCCTTCCCAGGAGCAGGAGGTCCAGCAGGCGTCCAGGGCAAGGCAAGGTGAGGCCACAGTGTCACAGTGACAGCCGCTCCTCCAAGGAGGCGAGCGGGTGGTGGCTCTGTGCTGCCTCCATAGCCCACCCCCGCCCACACCACCCCCTTATTTATGGGGCCCAAAGGACCACGGATGGGTCTGAGCTTGGCTTGCAAAGAAGGGCCTGGCACTGCCCTCCCCAACCTCCCCTAGGAGTTCTGGGCTTCTCTCCTCCTCATAAATATTTATCAGTGTTCGCAGTGTGAAGATGCCACAGTCGGCTGGGGTGTAATAATTGCGAAAGTGAGAAAAAATACAGATCACACAGTTTGAATCAGCAGCTCCCCCGCTAGGGCTGGGCCTACAGAGGAGACCAGAAAAGTGGCACAGGCCACAGGGACCCCAGCTGCTTCCAGAAGCGTCAGTCTACCCTTGGGAGGCCTGGGTCTGAGGGAGAGGAGAGGACACAAATGCCTGAGGGGAGTCAGGGAGAGCCATTCCAGTGATCCTTGAGGGGGACACAGGAGGGGGCCAGGGCCAGGCTGGGAGGAGTGATAATCAAGGAAGGAGGGCGGGAGGTAAGAAGGACCCAGCATTTGCTGAGTGCCTATTTAATTACTCTCCCAACAGCACTGTGGAGTGGGCATTATAACCCCCACTTTATAGATAATGAACCTGAGGTTCAGCGAGATGTAGTAATTTGCCCAGGAACACAGCAAACAGAGGCTAAGTCGGGATTCAGACCCAATTTTTTCTGTCTGCCTCCAGAGGCTGGGTCTTTATATCCGATCCTGCTGCTGTCCTAAAGCAGGTGTTTTTATCAACATCAGGATAACAGAAAAGAGGGGAAATGAGGACAGGAGAGGGGAGGGGAGGAGGAAGAAATGAAAGGGCGGCTAAGGGGTGAGAAGGAGAGGAGGGTGACAAGGGGCAGGAAGCATGGCCAGCCGTGGGGAACATCCTGTCGCTAACTCCACCAGCCCCCAGGGCCACCTCCTCAGGAAGCCAGGATGCTGATGGCTTCCTCAAACAACCAGAGCAGCTGCCCAGGCCGCTGAGAGCGTGTTCCGCCCTAGTCAGGTCTCTAAGTGTGTTTCCCAGAACGTTGCTGATGCTTCAACAATCCCATGTCACAGATGAGGAAACTGAGGCTCAGAGAGGGAAACTGTGGCTGCCTGTCTCCAGAGCCCATGTGGTTTCCACTCTGTCGCACAGCCAAGCCCTCCCTGAAGCAAGTCCACTGGCTTCCTGACCCCAGCGCTGTCAGACAAAAGGCACCTGGGGGGTGCTTCCGGTTCCCCGGCCCCCTACATGTGCAGTGCCACACAGATAGCCTCTGCCTGTTCACTTTGAGGAGCAAGCACAAACATGCAAGACTGTGGTCAAAGCCAAGCTTCCAGACTGTGGGACGGTGCGGTTGGTTCACCCCAGAGTCCCATCTATGCCCCACGAGCCTGATCCTCAGAGCCAAAGCTGGGCCCCATAAGGGAAATACCGGTGGCATTCTAGCTGATGAAGGCTCACCAGAGAGATGGAAGAAGCCCACCAAGGGTAGCTCAAGAAAGGGAGGAGGGGATATGACAAGGAGGCAAAAATCTCACGGGAAGGATGCGCAGGCAGGACGCACGGGGGCTGGAGCCAGGAACGGGGAAGCCATCAGCCTCTCAGGTGGTTGCTGTCCCTCTCCACCTCTCCCTCAGGGGCTGCATGTCTTCCCGGCTGCACGGCTCTCTATGCGGCTGCTCCATTGTCTCTGTGGACCAACTCCCTCTGCTTACTCAGTGCTTTTCCACTCCTCCATCATCTTGGCTTCATGTGGCTCTCACTCCGACCTTGTTTCCACTCTGCCTCTCACTCAGCTCCCCACTGTTAACTGGCCGAATGGCCCAATTCCAAATCCCAGGAGAGGAATTTGATTGGCCAGCTTTGGTCAGGTGCCCCATGCCTGGACCAATCAGCTATGCCTCGGAGGTGTCATGTGGTCCACGAGGCATGGGCAGAAGAGGGTCTGTAAAGCAGTGTTTTTCAAACCAGGGGTTATAACCCATTAGTTGATAATGAAGTCAACTTCAAGAATTGCCACCAGCACTTTGTTCTTGTTGTTGTTTGCAATAGAATAGAAGATATAAGCATGAGGTGCAGATGGCAAGGGTATGGTAGATATTACGATATTTACCAATATTCTATTCTCCTCCAAGGCTGGACATATGAGTGGATCAAATTTCTCCAGTCCTATGAAGTTAGACATACCTATGTGGCTCGCTCTGGCCAACGAAATATGAATAGAAGTGCCACATGTCACTTCCAGGCAGAAGCATTTAAGGGCTGGTGCATGATTCCCTAGGCCCTTTGTATTAGTTTTCTATGGAGGCTATAACAAATGATCACAAACTTGGTGGCTTAAAACAACATAAACTTATTATCTTGCAATTCTGCAGTTCAGAAGTTCAAAATATACCTCACTAGGTTAAAATCAAGATGTTGGCTGGGCTATACTCCTTTCTGGAGGCTCTGGGGCAAATCTGTTTCCTTGCCCTCTCCAGCTTCTAGAGGCCACTCACATTCCTTGTCTCATAGCCTCTTCCTCCATCTTCAAAGCCAGCAACAGCAGGTTGAGTTCTTATCACATTGCATCACTCTGACCTCCTCTTCTGCCTCCCTCTCCACTTTTAAAGACCCTTCAGGATACATTCAGCTGCCTATTTTAAGATCAACTGATTAGCAACCTTAATTCCATCTGCAACTGTAATTCCCTTTTGCCATGTAATATAATGTATTCAAAGGTTCCAAGGGTTAGGAGGCAGACATCTTTGGGGGGCCATTCTTCCAACTACCACACCCTCTTTCCTCTGCCACCGAAACCAGCAAAGATCGGGATGGGGAAGCCTCCAGCAACCTGAATCCCAGGGCTCTCCTGCTAGGTGATAGACATGTAGCATGAGAGAGAAAGAAAGCTCTCAAGCCACTAAGATTTGGGGGTTGTTTGTTAGTGCAGCAGACCAGCTTCTCCTGCCTGATACAAAAAGTAAGTATTATTTAGTGAAAATTTTGTTTCAGGTGAAATGAGTTACAATGTAAAATAAATGTCATGCTGCAAATTTTTAAATGTTTAAAATCCACTGTTCTAGAAAAGGAAACCCTCATGCACTGTTGGCAGGAATGCAAACTGGTACAGCCACTATGGAAAACTGTATGGAGATTTCTCAAAAAATTAAAAATTGAAATACCATGTGACCTAGCTATTCCACTACTGGGTATTTATACAAAGACCTTGAAATCAACAATTCAAAGAGGCTTATGCACCCCTGTGTTCATTGCAGCATTATTCACCATAGCCAAGACTTGGAAGCAACACAAGTGCCCATCGACTGATGAACGGATAAAGAAGATGTGGTATATATACACTGGAATACTACTCAGCCATAAAAAAAAGACAAAATCATCCCATGTGCAACAACATAGATGGAACTTAAGAGTATTATGTTAAGTGAGATAAGCCAGACAGAGAAAGACAACCATCATATGATTTCACTCATGTGTGGAAGATAAACAAATACATGGACAAAGAGAACAGATTAATGGTTACCACCGGGTAAGGGGGTTGGCGGGAGGGCATAAGGGGTAAAGGGGCACATATATACGGTGACTGACAAATAATAATGTACAACTGAAATTTCACAATGTTATAAACCATTATGACATCAATAAAAAATAAATAAAAAAATAAAGAGGTGAGATATTAAAAAAAAAATCCACTGTTCTAGAGAAACATGCCTAAAATAAACATGCTCTATCAGTGTCTGTGCAGCCTGTTGGATCCTGTGTTCTGATTCCACTCCATCAGGTGCCAGGTGGGCTGGCAGGTCAGCTCTCCATGAACCAGAATGTTGGCTTCTCTAGTGAGCCCATTCCCCACCTGCAGCATGGGCTACCTGTTGGTCAACTTTGACATTAATATTCTGCTGCTCTTCTGGGAGCCGCCAGTCCTCCCAATGTTCATTTGTGCCTGTAGAAGGTGGTCTGCACCATAAGGGACCCAGAACAAAGTACCTTCCAAGACAGATCCCCAACAACCAAGAGTTTATAATTCTGTATAGTACAGCCAAACAATGGAATAGTACATAGGATTGAAATTATGCTTGCATCTTTCGTAACACAGGGAAATGCCCATGACAGAATATTAAGCAGAATAATTCAGGAATCAAAACAGTATATTTGGCATGAACTCAACTTTATACTCAATAAATACCCAAAAGAAAGAATGAGAAGACTTAGCACTAAGATGGCAATACTCCTCAAATTGATCTATGGCTTCAATGAAATTCTCACCAAAATCCCAGCTGAATTTTTTGCAGAAATTGACAGGCTGATCCCAAAAGTCACATGGAAACACAAAGTACCCAGAATAGCCAAAACAATCTCAAAAAAACAGAACAAAGTTGGAGGACTCAGACTTTCCAAATTCAAAACTTACTACAAAGCTATAGTAATCAAGACTGCCATGTGATACTGGCATAAAGACAGACATATAGATCAATGGAACAGAATTGAGAGTCCAGAAATAAATGAATATATTTACGGTCAATTGACTTTTGAGAAGGGAGCCAAGAGAAGTCAATGGGGATAAAACAGTCTTTTCAACAAATGATGCTTGGACAACTGGATATCCACATGCAGAAGAATGAAGTTGCACCCCCTACCTCACACCATATACAAAAATTAACTCAAAATCGATCAAAGATCTAAATGTAAGAGCTACAACTATAAAACTCTTAGAAGAAAACATAAGTATACATTGACATGATCTTGGATAAGGCAATGGTTTCTTAGCTATGACACCGAAAACACAGGCAACTAAAGAAAAAAGTAGATAAACTGGACTTCATCAAAATTAAAAACTTTGGAGCTTCAAAGGTCACTGTCAAGAAAGTGAAAAAACAACCCACAGAATGGAAAAAATATTTTCAAATATTTGAAAATATTTGAAGAGGGCCTAGTACCCAGGATATATAAAGACCCTATTATGATTCAACAATAAATAGGCAAATAACTCAATTAAAAATGGACAATGGATTTGAATAGACATTTCTCCAAAGAAGATCTACAAGTGACCAATAAGCACATGAAAAGATGTTCAACATCATTAGTCACTGGGGAAATGCAAAATAAAGCCACAAGGAGATACTTCACACTCACTAGGATGGCTATGGTCAAAAAAGACAATAACAAGTGTTGCCAAGGATGTGGAGAAACAGGAACCCTCATACCTTGCCAGTGGGAAGGTAAAGCAGTGCAGTCACTTGGGAAAACGGTTTGATAGTTCCTCCAAAAGTTAAATATAGAGTTAACATATGACCCAGCAATTCCATTCCTAGGCGTATATCCAAGAGAACTGAAAATGATGTCCACACAAAAACTTGTACAGAACTGCTCATAGCAGCATTACTCATAACAGTCATAAAAAGTGAAAAAAAACCCAAATGTCTATCAACTGATGAATGTGTTTTTTCAAATGTGGCATATTCATACCATGGAATATTACTCAGCTGTAAAAAGGGACGAAGTACTGATTCATGTTACAACATGGATGAACCTTGAAAACATTATGCTAAGTGAAAGAAGCCAGACACAAAAGACTATATATTGTTTGATTCCATTTACATGAAATATCCAGAATAGGCAACTACAGAGAGACAGAAAGTAGATTAGTGGTTGCTAGGGGCTGGTGGGAGAGGGAAATAGGAAGTGATTGCCAATGGGTAGGAGTTTCTTTATGGGGTGATGAAAATGTTCTGGAATTAGATAGTGGTGATGGTTATACAACTGTGTGAATATACTAAAAACCACTAAATTTTACACTAAAACTGAATATTATGGTATATAAATTATATCTCGATTTTTAAAAATAAACTAAAAACAAAGCAAAAAAATAAATGAAAGGAAAGGAACTGTGCCTAACTGTTAACGGGGGTTGAAAGAGACTCCATCCACCCACCTACTCACTTCTTTATAGCTCTTATTTTTCCGTGTTGTACAATGAGCATAAATTACTTTCTAAAGATGCCAGGGCTTCCCTAACAAGATACAGTGAAAAGCGAGTCTGGGAAAAAATATTGTAAGTGAAGTAGAGAAAATATAGATCCTACGACTCTGAATCCTTTGATATTAGAGTCTCTGGTTCTGCCATTTACAATCCAGAGCCCACATCTCTCAGATTCCTCAGATCCCTCCCCAGGCCTGCCGTGTCAGCTACTAGACCTGTGGTGCTGTGTCTTCTGCTCAGCTATCTCTTCCTCCAGGGAGCCTTCCCTGATTCCCCCTAAATCTGGATTAGATGCCCCCCAATGCCCACACCCAGTGTGTCCCTAGTCACAGCATTTATCACACTTCATAATCGTCTGTTTACTCACCCTCTGCTTCACTCATATAACTTACATGAGAGTGGAAATGTTATTTGTGTTATTGACTCTGGGTCCCTGGGGCATAGCATGGTGCCTGGGCCACAGTAGGTGCTCAATAAATAAACACAGGTGGAATGCGGTTGAATGAATGCTCTGAGAGAATTAGTCAAGAGTGAGGATGGATGAAGTTTAAAAAGATGGTGATGATGATCCTTTTCCCTGGGTGAGTGGACTCCAGGGATTTCTTCCATATACTTCTCTTTGGCTGTCAGGATCAACGGGCATTGGGCTAGAAAATGCTTCATAGGGGGAGGGTCCCAGCCGCCATCAGGATGAGCCAGGAATACAACAGATACATCCAAAGCTCAGCTTTGACCAATGACTCTCCTATTTATCATTCACTTACCCATTAAACAGTCACACAGCCCTACCACTGCCAGGCTCT